TTATTTAATATGTTCTACTTGCTCATTTTCAGAAAAACAGGGTATTCCATATCACTACACTTATAGTTCCAAAGCAAGAGTCAACATCTGATTCAGTAAGGCATTTCTTTATATTTGGTCATTGTCTATTATTCCCTTCATCCCTAAATTAAGCTCTCACGCTTCTTAGGAACGTCCCAAAATTCTCATTTCATTTTAAAGAAATAATTGTGTGGTCTATGTGATCTCTCTTCTATGCATTATTTTCAACCACACTTCATTTTTAAGCTTTTGCTTAAACTATGTGAAAAAAGCGGGAACTTAATTTTGGGGCAGAGGGGGTATAAAATTTAGGCCGCAGCGTTGCATTCTTTCTTTCTGGCAATTGATGCTTAACATAGTTGTTATTTGTTAAGGCCAAACATGAAATAAGTTGACATATTGCTAGGGAAGCTTTTGCAATGGGTCGTGTTCTCATGTCTTGAAGATAATGAAAGGTATAAGGAACTTTGGAGTAAGAGAAACTGCACAAGAAAAACGTGAGAGGGAAGGGGGTGGGATAGCTTTAAATAAGGAATGAAGCAGCATACTTCAAAGTAAAAACAAAGAGAATTATAGGCTACAATATAGGATTAACTAGTAGCAAATATATTGATTCACAGATTAGAAGCTTCAAAATAAGAAATATGGTTATTAGATACTGAGACATATTTATGCATTCAGTGCCAGACATTAAATGAAGAAGAAATATTTGAGGTCCAGGACAAGCTCTCTTTGTTTCCTCTTGGATGGATACACGTAAGTGCCAATAATAGCCCTTTTGACTTCTCGCTTTTCCATAAATTAGCTATTACAGATGTGACAATTTCCCCCAAAACCTTTTATTTTCTCTATTACTTTGTCTGATCTAATGGAAGTGTGGGAGTTGTGATATAATATTGCTTGGTATTCACAATTCTAAAATTAATATAATTAAAATTTTCACGCTGCAGAGGATTCTCTTTTGGATTTCTCTGATTTATAGGCACTGGTCTGAACTTTTTTCTCTTTGTCAATGATGTTTTTTTTAGCCAACCATTAGCTATCCTACTGTGTAGTTTAAACACAACTATCTATAGGACTATAATAAAAAAAACATCCAGCCGTAGGAGTGCAATTTATCGTCCACACCTCAGCCAATTTTTAAAGAAAAAAAGGATTAAAAGCCTACCTTGCAGCGATATTGGCTACAACTTCTACAAGCATGGAAAACTTAAATGCTAGAAAGGAGAACATGTGATCAAGATGTTTTTAGATCTGGAGCCAATCGAGCCATATTGAAACCTATTTTGAATTTCTAGAAACTAAGAGATAGGATGTGCCAGGGTTACAATATCTGTCCTCAACACTCATCATTTATCTGATGATCACTCATCAGTGTAAAATCTACAAAGCGAAAAAAGTGATTATATAGTATGACATGAATAATGTCTTTAAGAAATGTGTGCTTTAGATATTATCTATTTATCCGGGTCTTATTCTGGAAAGCTGTACATAACATTGATACTTATTTTTGGGGAAACTTTGCAGACACATCCATCTCAAACATGTTTTATGTCATCAGTTGATTTGCACACTCATTACTCCTATCAGGTACTAAAGCTTTTTGTGTCTGTTCTCTCTCTCTCTCTCTCTCTCTCTATATATATATATATATATATATATATGTATATATATATGTATATATATATGTAGGGATTGACTCCAGTGAGATGACACCTTATGGTAAGATGACATGCTTCAATGAGATGACACAACACACAACACTGCCAATGAAAAGCTCACCAACTGTCAATGCAAAGCTCACCAACTACCAATGCAAAGCTCACCAACTGTTAATGCAAAGCTCACCACTTTTTTTAAATAAAAAAAGTTAAAAAAAATAACACCACCACTCAGCCACCACTCAACCACCGCTCAACCACCGGTCCACGGCAACAGTGGGAGTCATCGGTGGTGGACATTGGTCATGAGCGGTCAAAGTGTAAAGCTCACCAACTATCAATGCAAAGCTCACCAACTGTCAATGGAAAGCTCACCAAGGAACAATGCAAAGCTCACCACTTTTTTTTTTAAAAAAAAAGCTAATAAAGCAAAGCTCATCACACTACACTACAAAGCTCACCAATGGACAATGCAAAGCTCACCTGGAAATAAAGCAAAGCTCACCAATTTGAACCCCAAAACTCACCTTTTTTTAAATTTTAAAAACTAAAAAATTAATTAAAAATAAAATAATAACACCGGTCAACCACCGGTCAAGGGCGGCGGAGCAGCAGTGGCGGCCGGAGCCCGACGGCGGCGGCCGGAGTCCGGCGACGGGACCGGATTCCGGCGACCGGCGGCGGCGACCGGCGACCGGCAGCGGGAGCGACGACCGGCGGCGGTCAATGCTGGCGGTCAACAGTCAAAGTCCAGTCAGCACCCTTTCCTTTGATTTTTTTTTGGAAAAAAATTCAAAGTGTTGAAAAAATATGGTGAGCTTTGCCTTACACTTTGGTGAGCTTTGTAGTTGTCTTTGGTGAGCTTTGCAGTGACCAGTGGTGAGCTTTGCAATGACCAGTGGTGAGCTTTTTATATATATATATAAAATACTCCCTCCGTCCTACAATTGATTACAATTTTTTGTACTTCAACCTCTGGATAACTTTTTTGCTTTGTAAACCAAAATTGTAATATAATATGGGACGGAGGGAGTATGTGGAGGCATCCTCATAAGCATGTATCACACTATTTATGATTACGTGGAAAGTAAATCCTGAAAACCAACGAATAATTCTGTATTTGAAATTTAAAGGAAGGCTTGTTCTATCCCAAACCATGGTTCTTCTGAAATGGAAGAAACCCGTACTGTCCTGAAAATGGATATAGCACATGTGACATTTTGCTTGTGTAGCCTCTTTCGATATGGTATGGGATGGTTCTTTAGTGCTATTAGAGTATTCCCTACTCACTTAAAAAACTTAGTATGGAATAATTCATTAAAAAATACTCCGTATTAAGTCACAATGAAAACTTAGGTGTAAGTGTAACATTTAGTTTCATATACATTTCTCACTTGTCTCCTTTTGTGAAGTTATTTAATGAATTGAACATGTCTTGGAATTCTAGAAATGAATGTTTAAATAGAGTACTTAGAAATGGAAACTTAAACGCACGCCTAATATGAAAACCAGCCTATCTTTGTAGGACGGACCGATATAAATACAAGTCTATCTATGTGGATTGAAGGAAGTGTATTTTGCTCATATTATTTAGTAACATATTTAATATCTTAAATACTCGGGCACTTGGTTCTTCTGGACTGTTTATGATGGTAATTGGTACAGAACATGATCGTTGTGCAGTTTTGCTGTTTTGGTATAGTAATCACTAAGGAACAAGTACTTTACCATAATTTCAAAAAATCTTCGAAGCCGTCATAATAATTTTATCACATTATGGGGATTGGTTCTGGTATGTGCAATTCAGAATGGATATTTGGGACAGGAAGCCCAAATCCATGCTCAGCCCCAAGACTTTACCCTAACTGTGTAAACTTTCCTTGGAAAAAAAATTTAAAAGTTACTCCCTCTGTCCCAAAACGATATTCCCTATTCAAATCACTTGCAAAATCCTGCAATTTTTAAAATGATTTTATTTACAATCGATATAAAAATAAAAAAACAAAACTTACATATTTAAAAATTACATCAAAAGTTTTACAGAGGTGACAATAATATTTTAGTTTATCAAATGATCAATGAAAACATACAAACAAACAAAAGCTATCGAGAGGCCGTAATGGTAAAGAGATAATTCATTTTGGGACTGAGGGAGTATTATAGTTGAACGTTTAAGCAGGCACATATAAGTATATACTTCAGCTAAAGCTAAGAAATAACTTGATATTGCTGGTGCTTAATACTTGATCAGTATTTTGCCGGAATTACTTGTAAACTAAAGCTAAAAAATTGCCTTCACTTGTCATTCAGTTGATTTATAAATTGTTGTGCCTCTTTTTGCTCTGTACTTGTTTTTACACATGTGCACAAAGCCACAATCTTTCCTGATTGGAATTGTTATTTGCTCATTTTTAGATTATGTTGCCGGAGGCGATTGCAATTGTCATGGCTCCCACCGACGAATCCAGGTAAACATTGTTTCCAGCCCCGCCTATGTCTATTGCAAGTTTGTATTGCAATCAAATTACTCTAAATGTGGTTCTTTTTCTATGATTTCGAAAAAAAAAACGTTTCTTAAAAAAATGTGGTTTAACTAATACTAATGCTCAACTTTCTTAAAAAAAATTAATGCTCAACTTGTTTAGGATACTTTTTACTTATAAAAAACCCATTAAGATACGAGAAAAATTAGTTTCTTCTGTGCAAATAGGACTCCTAATGCTTTAACATCTGAACTAAATAAAAACTCTGGTGGTGGTTGTTGCAGTCCTCACGGCATCTTTCATTTGTCCGATCCCAGCGGCGTATCCGTAATCCGGAACTGCCAACAGCGCGGTTTCCATCCTCACGAAGAACCCGAAGATGGAAGTCCCATCTATGAGCACTGCTCTCATGTGTATATGAATCCAAACTTGAAATTTGACGTAGTTGATCTCCGATGACCTCAGGCTTTTGGTTAATGTCCAAAAGCCAACTTGTACAGCTTATTTATACACACAATTTGCTGTTAGGCTAAGTACACTTTTACAGTTTTGTACATTTTTTTTATGTACACAAGAAGACCTTCCTATGAGCCAAACTGAATTTGTTCCATTTATATTCCCCAGTTATGAAATATTGCAATATGGAATTTGTTTAGTTTATTATATTCCTTTGATCATGAATAAAATAAGTGTACTAGCCATTGCCCTTTTTCTGGTTTAGAACAAGAAAAGCAAACATTTGTTATGAGAATCCAGAGTGAAAACTTGGATGAAAAGCTCTGTATGTGAACATGGAATATCTGGCCTTTAAGCAACCTTTGTTGCAAGCTATTCTAAATCAGGCCTCTTTTTATCCATCTTCTCAGATCCCATCCCAGCCTTATTATTATGTTCTATATTGTACATTTTCCCTTCCCTCTTGCATCCACATCCATCAATGGCTGTCACGCATACTGATCTTGCCCCTAGCCCTCCGAAAACCGACCTGGGCAGCAACACGGGCCTTTTCATCATTGTTGTATCCATACTTCTGGGCCTCCAGTGCTTCATCCTCTCCCTTGTTGCCGAAGCCACGCGTTCCGAGGCAATATGGGTGGAAAACAAGTGCAGGTATAGCGGGGATGGGAAGATTGCGCTGATGAGTGTGGCTGCTGCGTTCTTCTCCTTGGCGTTGGCCATGGTGTTGCAACATGTCTACCTCTTGATTGCTGTGAGCAAATCCCCGGCGGGATCGCTAGTCTATTGGGACCCACATTCTGATTTCGTCAAGTCCCTCACTTGGCAAGCGGGGTTCTTCTTCGTTGCAACATGGTATGAAACATGAACCCTTGTGATATACTGTATATTTATATGTCGGTTTGATATCATATTATATGACTTCAAAGTAATTTAGAAATTCTGCGGTGTTTTATTTCTCCAAACGACTTCTTGCCCCTATTACCCCTCACAAACCCCACCCAACCCCCCAGTATTCATTATTTTCAACAATTGAGGCACTCTACCATCCAACGAGCAACCACCATCCTAACATGAACCATTTAACCCATCATCTGGTCTTTCGGTTCTTATGCCAAACAAAGCACCGTAGAGTCCTTGAGTTGGTGTCATATTTTGATATCAAGTGTTGAATTAAAATAACCTGACCATATTCTATTAGAGCATTTTTATTCATTCCCCTCACTTTCCCTCTTCTCTCTTATTTTCCATTTCGCATCATTTTCCCTCTTAACTTTTCTCACTTCACTTTAATAATTCCTCACACTTTCCCTTCTTTTTAAATATGGACCCCACATGTCATAAATTTACTTTGTTTGCATAAGAAGCATTTAAAAAATACTCCAATATTGAGATAAAAATTCATTAAGGAGTAATGAAATGTCCTATGCGGAATAATAAAAAATCTTGTGTCGAACGATTAACCTACAAAACACTACAACATCACCCTTCAAAAAAAAAAAATAGATTCACCACTTCTCTTCTCTCTTTTTTTCCTCTCTTCACTTTAATCCTTCCTCTTTAATTTCTTTCCCTCATGCCACATAAGATTTACTCATACTTTCCTCTTCCTCTAAAGTTGCTCTTACGAATTCCGTATTATTATTATTATTATACAAAAAAAACAATAATAATAGTAATAATAAAACATAGTAATAATAATAATAATAATAATAATAATAATAATAATAATAATAATAATAATAATAATAATAATAATAATAATAATAATGTAGTTTCCTATACACAAAACATGATTTTACAAATTTGTAAGATTGTGATGACAGGATATCATTTGCAGTGGGGGAGATATTATTGCTAGTAGGACTGAGTGTAGAATCAGGGCACCTCAGAAACTGGAGAGATGCAAGGGCAAGCTGCGTGGTGGTCGGACAAGGCGTCTTCTCAGCCGCCGGAGTTTTTGGCCTTTTCACCGTCTTCATGGCCGCAGGCCTCTACATGTCCGCTTTGCGCGGCCAGCGCTTCCTGCAGGACCAAGAGAACAACCACCGCGAGGTTATGGCCGCCTCCGCCTTCTACGCTTCGCCGCCCAGGTCGCCCCGCCGCCCGCCGCCGCCCGCAGATGATCAGAGCCGGCCGCATATGGCAATGGTGGAGCTTCAAAAGTACATGCAACTTGTTTGATTCTTTCTTTGGTTTTGAGAGTATCATTCTCATGTGCAGAAAGTGTAAATAATCCAAAATTTTACTCCATACCGTATGTATTAATGTTTTTTTTATATATCAAAAATACCTGTATATATTAGCCATCAACGTTTTAATTTTGAGTATTATTACTCCTTAATAATTGTATTACAAACTTTGGGTATTAGCCATCAAAGTTAAATTAAAGTATGATAAAATACAAAATATAAGATTGGATATGGTTACAACACATATTGGGTCATGAGTTACTTGTCTTGAATCGATTATCTAGTTCAATTAAGTACTTTAAATTTTCAAAGCATATCAGTCTCTTTGAGAAATTTGATAAAACAAAAATACTCAGTATCAGATGTTATTGTGCACCATAAAATGACTCGATTATCATATACTCCGGTATGAGATACGTAGTATTAATTAAACTCCTTTGGCGAATGTTTGTTGAACTCTACAAGCTAGGGTTGTGTATGTCTTGATGATTTGGAAGGAACAGTAGTCCATAATTTTTATTATATTTTGGTGGTTGAGTTTAGTATTCAACTAGCCATTAATGGACCTCTGATCTTAAGCTTCTTCTATGGAAAATAGTCTAAGAAGGAGAGAGGAAACCAAAAAATACACAATTCAAGAAATGGAGGATGTTAAAAGAAGAAAGATAGCTGAGGTGTTGATAAAGAGTGTGATACATTTGTTTGGGATATACTACTTATTCCAAGGGATCCATGGGCGACTTCATTCCAGCATTGAGTATGCATGATCGCCTTAGCTTCCTGATGTATGTATATATATATATATATATATATATAGTGGGCAGACATTTGTAAAGAAGAAATGGTTTCCGTTAAGTATATATATCAAATTTCAATCAATAGTTGCAAGGGGTTGTGGTTTAAAGGAAGTTACAATGAATATTAAAATAAAGGGTTTATTAAATATGCTTTTGATCCCTGTAAAATGAGTGATTTTTGTTTTTTGTCCCTCTAAAATATAGTATTTTTTTGTCAAATCATCCCTGTAAAATATTTATTTTTGCAAATAGTCCTTTTTCTATTAATTTTATTATTTTATCAAATTCATGTCTTCTCGGAGCCACGCATTTTCAAATCTGAAATGCCAGGATGGCGAAAAGACTTCAATAGATCCAATAAATCCAGAAGATCACAGTCCTCAAGAGCATAACAGAAACAGTCATCAAAGAAGGGGATGGATGAGATGTTCTGTTCAAGTTATTGCCCAACCATCACCGACCTGATTCAGACCGGGATTTGATCTTTCCAATTATGCCCAAACCTGTATTGGGCTGGCCCGTGAATTAAAACCAGCCAGACTCACAAACTGTACTAACTCGAGTACTCATGTTCATGTCAGTCAGTAGGTGTAAAACTAAAAGCACTCAGATAATCGAGAAATCCAATCTAACAGGAATTGCATAGACAAATATATTTGCGGCATAAAACCAGAAAATTGCAATCACTAGTGCATTCTTGTGTTCTGCTTTCTCCATTCAACAACATCACGGTCCAACATATTCGTACTTGCATCTTGGAGCTTCAATGTTTTGATCTTGCCATTCTATTATATCATCGTTAAGGAGCTCCACACAGCCATTACTATCCAGGAGGTAAACTAAAAAACAAAAAGAAGAAAGTATTCATCAGGGGAAAAGATGCAAGAGATTAACACATGAACCGAAACAAAAAAAAAAAGCAAGATAGAAAGCAAAGGGGTCTGGAGAAAAATACCACTGACACGATCGCCGCTTTCAGGAGCTGTATAAGAGTCGATGCAAATTGCTATTTTTGCCAAGTCCGCAGCTTCAGATGTCGTTATCACCTTGTCCATGTATCTGTAGGGAAAAACCAGTGTGTGTTATTATTATTATTATTTACCGAGTATTTATTATTAAAAGATCTCATGCCAATTACAAACACACATAGGTAAGTAAGAGAGACATACGGCATCATCACATACTCAAATGCCAAAACTGCCCCAACTGTACCACATCCAGTGGCAAGGAATGATTCGCCTTCAGTTAATAATTCGCCCTTGCCATTCATGCGATATACACCCCGCTCCTACAATTAAGGACAACGACAATGATCAATTTCTACAAGACTCGACCGAGCAAAAGCAAAATTGAAGATATTGCAATCACCGTTTCATCCATTTCATCCCACACGGCTATGAGCATTCCTATTTCCAAATCTTCCTCCCCGTAAGCACACAAAATCTCACGCAGCCACTGCAATGCCTCAGCAATTTTAGTTCTTCTCCCCTCCTCTAGTTCATGTTGTTGGCACTGTGATGCAATGAACGTGAACAAAAATTCTAGACCAATCTTTTCTGAGACTGCACCTTAGCCATTCAAAGAAAACCATTGTATTCTTAGTGTAAGCAATTACCTTCTTCTGCAGATTTTCGAGCAAAATTTCGTGCCCTCCAGAAATTGTGGCAAGCATGTGCGAAGTCAGGTTAACAACATTGGGTGGAAAAGTTGATGCTAAATTTGACAAGGAGAGTTAGTAAGGCAAGCAGTACTTCAATGTATGCTCAAAAAAACACGTTTCTACCGATGTGGTTAACATGGTAAACAAACTCACATTTGTTTGAGTGCTCAACAGCTATAATAGCCCCCATTTTGTAGCTAAAACCAAGTGTTGTCATTCCCTTTTCATACTTAGGTAAACCAAAAGGCTGCCAAGGAGAGAAAAGTCGAATACATGAAACAAGTCAAACCTAACGAAGAAGGATAATAATGGATAAAGCTATTTTTACGCATAAGGTATGATATACAAAAGGGAAAAGGGAAAAAGACCAACATTCCCGGAACGAAATTTGTAAGTGTGACAATCCGGACGGGGACGGCTGGATGTATTATTAATATGTGATGAAGCCGAGGGTTCAGATCCATCAAAGCTCAACTTCAACACGAGAAAAACAAGTAAAGCAAACATCAAAGTCTGATCACAAAAGATAAACAAAAACAAAAAACCCTATCCCTGGCCCTACCGGCTATGATTGCATCATGTATCACATGTAAAAGTTACAGAGGGTGTTTGGAAGTGTGGTAGATTGTTGAAAAAGCAAAGTTTTAAAGAGAAATCATAATCTATAAACAGAAACACATTGGCAATCACGACAAACCTGATTGGTTGAAGAAACAAAAGTTCATAAGCAGTTTTTAAGTGCAACCCCAAACACCATCATAGTATCGTGAGAATTTAACCAGGAAACACAGAACGAGCCGTAACTAATTTGAAGAAGAACAAAGAGTTTGAAGCGACAAAGAAATTACCTCAGATACGGGTGGCCCTAGGGTGGTAACCATCGCCAACGTTCTCTAACACCTTAAATCCATGGAAAAGCATACAAATCATACAAACATAAATTTAATTGATATATACTGGATTTTTAAACTAGCACATCAGACTGGAACCGAATTATATACCTCTCTATCAGGAAGAAATTGAACAGCAAGCGAAGAATAGAAATAGAACTGATTGGCTGAAGAAGATAACCAACAGAGATTCGTTACCTCGCCGCCGATTCGTGAGAGGATATTTAGCAACGACCCTTTCGGATTTATGAATTGGGAGTATTATTCTGCCCCGGATTCTCTTTTTGTCGGGTAAACAAGGAAAACAAATATTCTACTAGGAGTAAATAATATGAGAAATATATCTTCCATCTTTAATGCCGCCTTAGATATATCATCATGCACTAACAATATTTATGCTACTGGATAATGTTGGCTAGGTTCTTAAGGACATATATAAACTGATACTGCAGGATCATTTATGCTGCCTCATTAAAAACCTTATTAAGAAAACTCAATGGGACAAAACTTAGGTAAGGGAAAAAGAGTACAACATGTATAATGTTTTTGCTCAAAATAAAATTATACTCCCCCTCAAAATAATTTATCTCTTTCAGCCTGCGAAGTCCAATCTTCTTTATGAGTTGTTCGAAACTATGCTTAGGCAGAGATTTGGTGAATAAGTCTGCCAAATTTTCGCTTGATTTAACTTGAAGAATGTTAGACGCCTCGCACACCTCTAGAGGGGGGTGAATAGAGGTGTTGCCCAAAAGACCAGTTTTTTTTGTGCGGAAACGTTCTTCACGAATATTCAATAAAAACAATGCACCACAAACAAAATAAAGTGAAGGATAAGAGCAATGCACACACGATATATACTGGTTCGGCCTAAATGCCNACAAACCGTTAGGATTTCTACCACTTGGTGTAATCCCAACACCAAGAATACAAATCCCTTACAATAAAGTAAGAAAACAAACCGCAACCGAGTAATTCTCCCAACACGGAGTAGATTGTTGCAAATACAATGAAGTCCTTTAGAATATGACAATATCTCTCAAAGACTCAAGCAATGAGGAAAAACTCAAGCAAGAAATGATTTAGCAATCAAAACAATTGCCTTGCTTGGATATAAGGAGGGGATTGAGTAGAATCTCTTTGGATATTCAAAGGATATGTTCTTCAAAGTATTCTAAGTGTTCTTATGAAGATAATCACGAAAGAGGGTTGTTTATAGAAGTTAGGGAGTGGATAGAGATGAAAAGAATTCAAAAAAACTAGCCGTTTGGTAGTTGAAATTGTCACCTTATTCGAATAACTCAAGAACTATTCGAATATTTTGGATCAATCGCGTGACTTGAAAAACCAGTTCTTATTCGAATAAATGGTTATTTATTTGAACAAATCAGATTGAAAAACCAAGACTTATTCAACTAGTTCTGGATTTATTCAACTAAGTCAGAATAGAACTTTAGGGATTTATTCGAATAGTTTTCTATTTATTCGAATAGTTTTCTGGAAAAAAATGTGTTTTAAAGGAAGGATGATAAGGGAATGAACCTTAGAGATGCCATACTCTTTAACACAAAATCTAAGACCTAAAACACTACCCAACTAAGGAAATAACCTCTTCGGTCTTGTTCCTTCCACCGATGCTCAAGTCCCTTCTTCACGGACGGATATGAACTTGTTGTAGCTTTGATTCTTAGCCTTGATGCACAATATGATGATGATGTTTTGTCACCCTTTTGTCATTATCAAAACCTAAAAGACAATGGGCAAAGGACATTGCAAAAATATATATTCATAATAGCACATTGTCCAACAATTTCCCCCTTTTTGATAATGACAAGCCCATTAGGAGATATGCATCATCCAAAGCTAGTTCCCCCTCAAGTATAGCATCATAAATCAAACAAAGACATACAAATCTATACTATCTTCCCCGTTTAGATATGCACAAATACAATTCCCCCTGAATATATGCATATCTACACCATCTTCCCCCTTTTGACATTATCAAAAAGAGATGGGCAAAAAGATATATGCTCATGCAAATAGATATCAAACAAATAAATAATATCACATTGTCCAACTAAAATATAAATCAACATTAGTTGGAATTAATAAAGTGAATCAAAATATATGCTTTATCCCCTTCCAATGTCTCCGTGTTGGGTTTAAACTGAATCTTGCCAATAAATGTACTAAGAATGCAATATCAGGCCTTGTATTATTTGCAAGATACATGAGTGCACCAATCGCGCTTAAACATGGTACTTCTGGACTAAGTACTTCTTCACCATCTTCTTGGGGGCGATAAGGATCTTTATGTATATCTAAGGATTGGACAATCATGGGTATGCTCAACGGATCTTTATTTCTCTGTTCCTGGACTTTTGGGATTGAGAATTTTGAGAATAAGATATGAAATTCAGCTGCTCTGTTCCTTTCTCGATCTCGAAATCGAATGGGGGTGGGTGGGTTTCTTTTTGGCGAGACACGGGAGAACGGATGGATGGGTTTCTTTACTTCTCTAAGATGCTGGGTTTCTTTACTTCTCTGCGATGCGGCGATGCTTCAGCGATGCACAGCAAAGAACGGGGAAGGGAAAAAAAGTGGCGGAAAAAAAATAGGGTTTGAGTCTCGTGCTAATAACGTGTTGTGAACTCGGTGCTTTATTCATGATATATCGGGGTATTTATAGATACACAGGAGGAGGTAAAGTCTAGGTAAACAAGAAAAACAAATATTCTAAATAATATGAGAAATATATCTGCCATATTTAACATTTTTCTCTTTTTTTGTGTGAAAGAAATCTGTCATTAATTCAGAGCAACATAGATTAGGATTAGAATTTGGGAAAAAGACCCCAAAACAAGAATACTATTATGTTTTAAGATCATTTTTGAATAATATAAATTTTTTTGAATAATATAAAAATTTTTAAGCTCTCATTAATAATACTTTCACTCTCTTCAATAAATAAACACTATCTTCTTTTAAAATTTCTTTGAAAGTGTGTACATTTGAATCTCTGATCTGCGCATGTATTTGATCTTCCTAACAATGAAAAAGAAAAAAGTATATATTACCACCATTACAATGTTGTTAATCTATACGCATTTTAGATTCATATTAACGAAAGTACTAACCTCTGAATCATAAAAAATTACATCCAATGATTTAGTCCCTACATGGGCGGAAACATGATTTAACTCTTATCGATCTCAATTTTAGCCTCAAAATCGACGACCTCTCATCAATATTCTATACAGTCGTTAACAACATCATGTTTTACTCGACGGACAGAGTTGAAAACGAAGAAATCATCCTACGTATCAGTGTAAGTCACTCAATATTACGCATATAGCAATCCTTAATCTTTTATACGAATTTCGCTATTTACAATGTCAATATCTTCCAAACATACCATTTACCTTTTATTATATTCTACTATTTTTAGTTATTTTTAATTATTTAATTAAACTTAGGTTATTCACGTAGCCACTCCTCCTCATACGTGCGGCTCCTCCTCATTCGTGCGTCTCATTTGTACGAAAACATCATTCTACGCCGTTTACCATAGCTTTGCGAGATCATCCTCCTACGCAGTTTACCAATGTTTAATGCCTAAACAAATTCGTATGTATTAAATTAAGTTTCATATTTAACGCCCATTTTAGCTAAATCTACTCTATTTATAATAGATTGGCAATTTTACCGTTTAAAATACAAAAAGATTTAAGAAACTTAGAGAAATTGGAAAAAACTGAAAATAGTAAAAAAACAATTTAAATTTAGAAACTAAAAGAAACTAAAAGAAATTGAAAAATAGTTAAAAAAATATTGAAAGTTGAGAATTAAAACTCAATTAAACAAAGACCAAACGGCCCATTATACTTACGTAATACGGAGAGCATTATGTTTATGTGCGCTAAAAAAAGCAAAGGAGAAGGAGCCCAATAATTACCCTTGCCGGCCCATATTTACCGGTCTCGCCGTTTCTTCTCCATTGCCCCACTCCGCCTCTTCCCTCCGATCAGGTGCTCGTGAAAACTTCTCCGAGTAGATTTTTTTGATCGCACACGACGATGTCGCTGAGGCCGAGTGAAAGGACCGAGGTCCGCCGGAGCAAGTACAAATCGGCGGTGGACGCCGAGGAGGGCCGTCGCCGCAGGGAGGACAACATGGTGGAGATCCGCAAGAGTAAGCGCGAGGAGAATCTGCTTAAGAAGCGTCGAGAGGGGCTCCAAGGACAGCAGTTTCCTACCTCCGTCCCGGCACCCGCCTTCGACAAGAAGGTATTTCTCTTTTTTAATTTCTACTCGTATACATTTATTCACATGAGATTCCGTCGCTAATTTGCTTTCGTTCATCTGGATTTTGCGTTGCTACTTATTGGGATTTGAATGATTTCTACTTGGTTGACTATTTGAGCTTTATAATTGTTGAAGTGCAGATAGAAAGTCTTCCTCGAATAGTAGAAGCTGTTTGGTCAAACAATAAAGAGTTGCAGCTTGAGGCAACCTCATATATCCGGAAATTGCTCTCGATCGGTATCTATGTTTATTTTTATGTCTAGGTTCATACGCGTTTGCATTTATTCACTCCAATGTTACATATCTTGCATTTCAATTGCCAGAAAGAAGTCCCCCCATTGATGAAGTTATACAATCTGGAGTGGTCCCTCGATTTGTTGAGTTTCTGGCTAGTGAGGAACCACAGCTTCAGGTGAGTTGACTTGAAATCACTTTTCTGTTGCATAATTACATACCTACTTGCAATTAATTGCTTACTCTGTTGTACACGTCTTCTTTGTGTAGTTTGAAGCTGCTTGGGCACTCACAAACATTGCCTCTGGGACCTCAGAAAATACCAAGGTCGTTATTGATCACGGGGCTGTTCCAATTTTTGTCCAGCTATTGGCTTCCCCTAGTGATGATGTTCGTGAGCAGGTACTTTTATTGTTCATACGCTTTGGTGTGCAACCTTATAGCCCATTTCGTAATACCTAATATTCATTAAGCGGTTGAATCATTTTAGTTTGTAGCCGAAGTGGCTGAATGAATATGATTTTTTCAAGTGAATCAAAGGAAGTAATAGTAAAAAAATTGACTAGTGCTTGGTTAAAAATTCTGGCTGATCCAGAAAATGCACAGCAAACTGGCACTTAGCTTAATGTTCATTTATTGGTTTGTGACATGTTTTTTATTGAGGCTGTAGGCTGTTTGGGCCTTGGGAAATATTGCTGGGGACTCTCCAATGTGTCGTGATCTTGTCCTTGGCCATGGGGCATTGATTCCTTTACTGACTCAATTGAATGAGCACGCGAAGCTCTCAATGCTGAGAAATGCCACATGGACTTTATCAAATTTCTGCAGGGGCAAGCCTCAACCTCCCTTTGAGCAGGTTTTGTGGATTTATTTTTATGAACAGTGTATGTTTATGTAAGGGATGCTCTTTGTTTTTTGTTATGGACTGCATTTAATTATGATTGATGTATTTTGCAGGTGAGACCGGCACTTGCAGCTTTGCAGGGCCTTGTTCATGCAAATGATGAAGAGGTTTTGACTGATGCATGCTGGGCACTCTCTTATCTTTCAGATGGTACAAACGACAAAATTCAAGCTGTCATTGAGACAGGTGTTTGCCAAAGACTGGTTGAACTTCTTCTGTAAGTCATTTTCCTTGTATTATTACGGAGTATTATCATTATTATTATCATTATTATTTTGAATGAATTTTTCATACATCATGGTTTTGACTTTCAGCCACCCATCTCCTTCAGTACTCATTCCTGCCCTTCGTACTGTCGGAAATATTGTTACCGGAGATGATGTTCAAACTCAGGTAAACTTGCCTTTTTGTGGCCTTTCAGTTGGTTGGTTCAACACCAACACACCATTAAAAGTGCTTTAGTTGGAATACTTCTAGGTTTATATGGCATCTTACTGAATGGGTTATTGTTGAATTTTTATATGTGTTTTTTTATATAAAAAATATTTATGAGATCATTCCTTTGCACATCATTGCACGTGTCTCCAAGGGAAGCTTATTTTCTGTTTCTCTTTCATTCACTAATTCTCATTCTTTACTTTTTATAAAAAAAGAGACCCTTGATCCCCAAGCTGATTAATGAATATTCCTAGCTTCTATTCGGGACCTTCCAAATTTTTATCCACTTCCCCAACATATTTATTGTTTGAGCATAAATAATTCCCTACTTCTTTAGATCACTTCCCTAACAAATTTAAGATTTTGACAATTCTAGTTTTTCTCCCTATTTAGTGCATAATTGATTGTGGTGCCCTCCCTTGCCTGTTGAGTTTGTTGGTTCATAGTCACAAAAAGAGCATCAAGAAAGAAGCTTGCTGGACAATTTCCAACATAACTGCTGGGAACATGGCCCAAATACAGGCTGTGATTGATGCTGGATTAATTGGGCCTCTGGTGAATCTGCTTCAAAACTCTGAATTTGACATCAAGAAAGAAGCTGCTTGGGCTATATCAAATGCTACTTCTGGTGGAAACAATGAACAAATTAAGTATGACATTTTATCCCTATTAGGTTCAATTTGGTGTGCTTCATGTTACATCAAGTTTGTCCTTTTTTTTTTGTGAATGTTTAGGTTCTTTGTTACTCAGGGTTGCATAAAACCTCTGTGTGACCTCCTTGTATGTCCTGATCCAAGGATAGTCACTGTGTGTTTGGAAGGGTTGGAAAACATATTGAAAGCCGGGGAAGCAGAAAAGGAAAACAACGAGGACATTAATAATTATGCACAGTTTATTGATGATGCTGATGGTCTGGAGAAGATTGAAAACCTACAGAGTCATGACAACACTGAAATATATGAGAAGGCAGTTAAAATACTGGAGGCATATTGGTTAGATGACGAGGAAGAGACTTTGCCTACGGATGATGGAACTCAAAATGGATTTAATTTTGGAGGAAATGATGTTAACGTCCCTGCTGGTGGATTCTCTTTTGGCTGAGTGTGAGTTTATTAGACTTAATTCTTTTCCCTTAAGTTTTTTTCTCACTTTTGTTATGCATTTACTCATCTGGATGGTGATATATCACCTTGTCTATATACTCCGTATACCATTTTAATTTGCTACTTACAATACCTAAAAATGGATAGAGGTATGCTTGCCAATTTGTTAGGGGTTGAGTGCTTTCTAAATCATAGTGAAATTGATTGATTTATTGTAAACTATAATGGTTTAATTCGATTTCTCTTTCTCACAGCATATAAAGAAGTCGAGCCGGGGAATTTCAAGTCCAGATTGAGGAAGATGTCTGGGTGTCTGAGGTCGTCTCGAGTCAGGTCAGCCAACCTCCCAACAGTTGGGTCAGTATGGGTCCGGTCCAGTCAAGTGTCATTGTCGTGGTGGTTCTGGGGGTGGCTAAAGTATGGGGTCTTATCATCTGAAGGGGATGCAAAAATGAAACAAAAGTGATGTGCTTGTGGATGCATCGTTTTGGGAACACCGTCCCATCCTGATGCCTAATACTTCCCTTCATTTCTGTGTCTGAGAGAGTGAGTGTTGTGTTGAAGGGATTTGTTTATTGTCCTTGATCGAGTTAACGAAATGATGAGTCATGTTCTTTAAATCTATTTACGGGTATTTTTTGAAAGGGATGTGTAGAGGTTTATTGGTCAATTTGCAATGAATCATACACCAAATTTTACCGGTTGTCAGACGTTTTTTTCCCATTCAAGTCTCTGAACTTTAGTTTATCTCGATAAAATACCTAAACTTAGTTGTATATTTCATCAAAAAGATTTTAGCCGGTTATCCATCATTTTCCGGTCACTGTGCTGCTTACTACTTTACTAGTACATCTCAACCTCAGTCATTACTAACTAAAGTCACCCTATGCAAACACATTCCACAAAGCTTGCCCAACAATAGACACAAGCAACCAATGTGCCAAGCATAGCGTATTGAAAGCCCGAAATGTACTCAAACGCTGAAATGGACTGCGTGTTCGATTGAGGGATATCTGGAGTTCCGACCACCAGAAACGGGCCAATATTGGAGTACTATTTTTATTTTAATGACATTGGATTGAGTGCTACTCTTTTGGTAGCCACATTTGAAATAGTAGGAGTTTTTTTGGTGAAGTTTTAGCCTGTGCAAACAAAAACACATCTTGTTTATAGCGTCCCCCTTTTTTTTGGGGGAGGAAAATTCAGGATTAAGTGAATAAAGTTGATGAGGAATATGATAGAGTGGTAAACAACTAAAACTATGGCAGCTTAGCAACATGGGGGACATGGGATGAGTGATGTAGTTATGTGCTTATGTTTGGTTCCATAGTTTATTTATTGTTTATTACCTCTTTGGCTTTCCGTTCCTAAATAAGCTTTCCATTTCAGATTAGGGGGCGGTTCCCATGACATTGCCCGACAATGTTATGGGATGACCCGGGAGGGCTCTGGTGCCTTGTTTGTAAAATTGAAGGTTCTTACCCCCTCTAACCCCCTGGTAAACTCCCCTTACTCCGCCCCGACCCGAACACACCGCCACCCCCCTTGAATACACGAATTTTATCTTTTATTTTTATACTAATTTGTAAGTAAAATTATTTTAAAACGTGAAAATTTTACACGTAAATTTTAAATATGAAGAGTTTTGATGAACAGAGAGAGCACCTATTTTAAATAAATTAAATTGAAAATTAATTCAATCAATTATCGTAATCTGTATTAGTAAAATTAATTTGGGGCGAGAAGTTTTATCTTTTATTTTTATACTAATTTGTAAGTAAAATTATTTTAAAAAGATGAAATTTTACACGTAAACATTAAATATGAAGAGTTTTGATGAACGGAGAGAGCACCTATTTTAAATAAATTAAATTGAAAATTAATTCAATCATTTATCGTAATTTGTAATAGTAAAATTAATTTGGGACAATGTGCTCAGAAAAATATCAAAAACTTTGTTTGAAAGAAAAATAGTACTCTAGTATAATGGTAATATTCTTGCGCTCGAACTAAGTTTTATGACACTTATAGCGCTCTGTTTATAAAACCTCCACTTAGTTCCTATCATTGCCTATCTAATAAAACTTTGGGCCATGTTCTCAGCATACATGCCCCCCTCATTGCCTATCTAATAAAACCTTACCTCCGTCAATCCAAACATACCTCAAGAGTAAGCAATGTGGAGGCAAAGGACTGTGTGTGTTTTTTGTTTACCAGAGGTGCTTGTGACGTTTTATAAGAGGTCACATGTTCAAATCTAAATGCCACCCAATTTTGAAGAAAAAAAATAAAGTACACGTGCACGGCTTAAAGTGACCGCGCCTACACGTGAGGGAGCATTATAAAAAAATTCTAGGACATACAATCACAAGTTTTGAGCTTTTGGTTGAATTGTTTCTTCGACACTCTCACTACATCTTTCCCTTTCAGTATGGGTGAATAAAATTGGGTTTGACTAGTGAATAAAAAAGACCGCTTTCGGACTGAATTCGTAAAATTTTAAACTAACTTCCATTTTAAGGATTGAGGACCATAATAATTCTAATCTCGAATGGAATAGTTTCTGGGCCGAACTGGTTATTATCCTTCTATTACCCCTCCGTCCCACAAAACTCCCCCCCTTTCTTTTTTCAACCATCCCAAAAAACACTTCTCTTTTCCTATTTAAAAGTCACTTTACCCCTATTAATTCTTAACCTACCTATCACATCACACTTTTTCTTTATTAATCTACACATCTCACTTATTTTATCCATCATATTAAAGGAAATTTTTGGAAAATCAATACCAAAATTCTCTATCTTTTAAAAGTCAAAATAAGAAGATTTTTAAGGACGAAGACAGTATATATTTTTTATAGGAATCATGTTTGATTATAAATACGAGTAAAACTTTATTCACCCGGTATTTTTTTTTTGAAGGCTTATTCACCCGGTATTTAATTACTCCGTATTTACTTATTGGAACATTAGGGGGTATTTATTTACTCCGTATTTATTTTGCTCTCCAACATGTAACATGAAGGATTCCATATTACTCACTCAGTAATAAATTTCAAAACCAGCGCCCGTCGTCGCTCATCAAATCAATCCATCTTCTTTTTCAATTTCATCCAGCCTTGAATTACACTCGTATCATTGGATTCGTCTGCTTCTTCTGCAAGTAAGATTCTTGCCACCCTCTATGTTTTCATTCATTGGTAATTCCACTCGCATGTTATTTATTATCACTGTAATCGGAAGGCAGACAGATAATCCGAAGTTCATTGGATGAAAACTGGAGGCTTGAATTTGAAAAAGCTCCATTTTTATAAGCTTGATATTGCTCTTCAATTGTGCATCTAGGACCTAAAATCTGCTAGGGTTTGGATGTTTATCGTGTTTACAAGAACAATGAAATCAAGCTAAGAGTTAATAATAGCGATTACTATTTTGAAATGTTCTGATCTGTTGTATATAGAGATCAGAGTTAAGAGAGCTAAGAGAATATCCTAATTATGAAATACATCGACTCCTACACACAGAAGTAAGGATCTGTCAGGAGGTAAATGAAGATCTCAAATGAGCAATAGAGAATAGGACCTGTCCCTCTTTATGCAGAGCATAAAACATCCCACACTTGCCCTTTCTAGATTGAACTCATAACCTCTCTCTCTCTCTCTGTATGGGTGTGTGTGGGCGCATCTGCATGTTTATATAGGCATGGTCTGATTGGTCTCAATTGGTGTAACAAAAAGGTACACATCCATGGATAGTGAATATCATCCAATAAAATGAAAATCAAATACCTATGATCATTGCAGATTTTATTTAATGGGTGCACTTAAACTCGGGCACATCTAATTTATAAAAACAGCATCATCCACAATCATGCAGTTGGTCATACCTATCCAACTCATTGACTTGTTACCTCTTGGCAGCCTATTTCATGGCATGATGCCAAGTCAATATCCACTTAAGCTATGACACTTGAGTGATGCATTATTTCTACTTGTATAGGCATATGAACATATATATGGGGTTACCAAGATTTATGCGTCCAAAGGGGGGTTGTAATAAATCAAGTCCCAACCTTTATGTGGCTAATTGCGGGCCAGCTATTGGGCTTTCATTGGATGCTATTGAGTCGGTGTTTAGCACATATGGTGATGTCAGGGGAGTTTATCCAGCTGATGAAAGTGGCACTCGTGTCATCGTATCTTATCATGAAGAGAGTTCTGCACAATCAGCACTCGAAGCATTGGATGGACACTCATGCCCTCAACTTGGAGGACGTTTTCTTCATATTCGCTACTCTGAACAATCAGTTTCTAAGGTGCAAAATTTGATTCATTTTTTGTGTGTGTGTCTATTGTGGAATATCATTTCCTCTATTTCATGTTATGTACTATGTGCTCATGAAGAGTCAGGGCCCCTAAAAATTGAATTTAGTGTGGCCGGGCGAACAATAAAAATAGTTCGATCATAAAAAAATTGTAAAAAAAAAATCACCTATAAAAGAAGGTTTTCTCCGAACTTGGGAGTTGGGAGGTTAGCCCTAGCCACGCTCATGCTTATGAATCCCCGAGGCTGTAATGCCCTAAGCTATGTTTGGGACGCAGAAAATGACAGAAAATGAGGAAAAAATGATGAGGAAAATGCTATCTTTTTCGTTGTCCAGTTTACATTAGAAATATAAATAGATAGAGTTAGAACAAATATCTAATCATCTAAATCAATTTATTCTGTTTAAGCCTTTTTTCCCAAATATAATTTCCTTTTAAATTTCCCCTTTATTTTCATCATTTTCTCCAGCATTTTTCTGAACTTCACACAGACCCCTTAAAAGGCAATTCATATTAGGAAAGATTTTGCCTGGCTGATTAATGCATGATTCTCAGTTTCCCACTTCTAGTTGTTGTATGGGAATATATATCTAAATGATTTCTTCCAGTATTTCCCTCCAATTTTAGCCAACTAATGGTTTGAAGTTAAATATTTTATGTAAGCTTGTTTGAACTTCAACTACACTCGGAGATTCATTGGGGTTTGATGATCCTGAATTTCTGATCAGGTTGAAGTCAATGACACATTTTCTGTGTCTTTAGAAGCTTCTGAGTTGAAAATTCCTGGTGNGGTGTTTATTTCATTCATGAATTCATTACTGCTACAGAAGAGCAGGTAAGATCTTTCTTTCCTCAAATGAAAGAGTATGATGGATTATGCTTGCATACATCATTACCCCCCCCCCCCCTCTCTTTTCCCATTGCTCTTTATCTAATTGGACTATCTTAAAATTTTTTGATTTATTTCATATGTAATTTCACTTGAACTTTTAGGAACTCCTCGCAGCTATTGATAGCAGACCTTGGCAGAATCTTGCGAAAAGAAGGGTTCAACATTATGGTTATGAGTTTCGTTATGATGTAAGTTCCAACATGAGTGAATTGGTGGTAACCCTAGTGTGACCTTTTCCAATTGGATATAGTACTCTTCTTTTTCGTTCTAGAAGTGTTTATTCAAATGAGTGCTAAATGTAGAAATCCGAAGAAAACATCTGTTGTCGATTTCATGTCAGATAAGAAATGTTAACACAAGCCAATACTTGGGTGAACTTCCACGATTTGTTTCTCCAATACTTGAAAGAATATCCTCCTTTCAAAAGCTGGGTTATACAGGAAGTACTGTCTTGGACCAGTTAACGGTAGGTTTTATTTTTTAATTACACCATAATTAATAATACTACCATCTTATAATCATATTTTATCTAACAATCTATCACCTCATCATATAACACATTGTCCACATATAATACTGTTTTTGTAATAAATCAGTTAATTTATCTCTTAATTACCACAAATTTTACTGTGGAGAACCGGATGTTTTTTTGTATAACCGATAGCTAAATTTATATTAACGGAATTTCATATTTTATCAAAAACAAAATTGCATAATTACTTACACAGGGTATACTTGAAGAGTTGAAGTACTACGTACTAGGTTAGATTGACACTTCCTTCATGGATTCAACATTAATACTCCGTAATAATGGTTTTATGTGAATTGTATCAGGTTAACGAATACCCACCTGGTGTGGGTTTGTCTCCACATATAGATACACATTCTGCATTTGAGGGAATGATTTTCAGTCTTTCATTAGCAGGGCCTTGTGTAATGGAGTTCAGAAAGTATCCAACAGGTAATTGGTTGAAAAACTATGAAGGTGTATCTGATGGAGAGGTGCAAGACTGTAACAAGACATCCTCTAATTTTATAAGGAGAGCTATTTATCTCCCCCCACGGTCAATGTTACTACTATCTGGGGAGGCACGCTATGCGTGGCATCATTATATTCCACACCACAAGGTAATCTTCCTTCAAACTTTGATAGTGTTGCATATTCATAGTAACAAATTCACACGACTATGTTCCACACTGCTTAGAATTTTCACTTTCCACATCCGCCTTTTCATGGTTTGATTTTAATTTGGAAGGAGGTGATTAGATAGGACTTAGGATTTCTTGCCCTTATTGAGGATATGGCCTTAGATATGAGCATTTGGAGAGGTAGGATTAGATAGCTGGGTATGCCTTGAGCTAGGGGGTGTTGTTATTGTGTGCCTTATAGGCCTTTGATGCTTGGTGTGATTTGCTATTTGTTTGCAATACTCTCGTTTTGTAACTTTACTTTATTTAATTTAGTTTTAATGTTGTGTGCTCGGTGCTTTATTTGCATTGAATCTGTGCTTTCCTTGCTTTATGTATCTACTCTGACCCTTTTTTATGTGCAGCTTGAGCCGTGGGTCTCATGAAAACAGCCTCTCTACTTTCTGGTAGGGGCAAGATCTGCGTACACACACTCTCCCCAGACCATACTTTGTGGGATTCTTCAACTGGGTTGTTTTTGTTGTTGTAAAGTGCAACATTTCATTAAAACCAACCAAAAAAGAATACATCAAAAGTACACAGCCATACAACAACTATCAACTCTAAGATACAAAAATTACTCCCATCCTACATATCCTTTATATCTAATATAAGTATTACTTTGATACTTAATCCACTTGAGATTTTCCTCAACATTAATCGTCTCATTCTTGTACATCTTCGTGTTCCTTGCCTTACGTTCCAGGTCCAACTCCACATACTTACTAAATCTACACTTAGTAAGAAGCATGTTCGTGCATTTCAGCTACATAAATTGATGTTTGGGTATAGAACAATTATTCCACGCCAATTTAACCCAATCAGGGGTTATTCTGTCTCCCAACAACCATTTGTAACCCTTCTTTGTATCATAACTCTCCCCCTTAGGCATATCTGTGAAGGAATTTCTGATATGTAGGAGTTTTTTCCAATAGTAGCAAGCTTTCCAATAGTAGTGAGCATTTACTAGTAGGACACTCCCATACAATACTAACTTTGAGATATTTACTATGAATCCATTCAAACCAGAGTATATTTTCTTTTTCGCTGTGTCCCATGGTAGATTCATAGCATTGAACAAAGTATTTAGTAACTCGTTCCCTCTATTTCACTCCCAAACATACCCTATGAAACCAAACCAATCTGGCAACCCATTATATTCCACTCGGGTGTGGTGGGTGTAGGGGAAGGGCTGTAGAAATATATGCAACCTTACCTCTATCCTGAGGAATATAATTGTTTCCGACATGGAAAACATACCTTATGAGATGCTTCAAAAAGTCAGATGTCATCCTTGGCTTCCTTGCATGTAAATACTCCCTATGTCCGGAGTTAGTTGTCCACTAACTTTAAAATCTCTTTTTTAAGAAAAAAGTTTAGAATTACAAATAAGTCCTTCAAATGAGTTTTAATTGTTCATGTCAACAGTGCTCATAGCCTGTGTGTAGATATTTTAGACAAATCAGCATTATTTCTTTATTGAATATGAAATGTAGTCAACTGAATCCTGACAGTGGGAGTAGTTTTCATCAAAGGATTTTTGCCATTTTCAAACTTTCCCTTGTAGACAAAGAATAGATACTCTTTTCCTTTCTTATCATGTTGACATGTGTACTCTAATGTCTTTGAGGAAGGTTGACATAGTGAAAGACAACACAATAAGACGGGCATCTAGGAGAGTATCATTTACACTGCGCAAGGTAAATTTATGATCAGATGGTATTGAATTCTTTTATTTCAAACTCAGAAGTATGCACGCTTGACATAATTGTTGCCTTTCCCGAATTGTTATCTCTGGATATCATTGAGTTTCCAGTTTTATTTCTCCCATTGTCAAGTTAGAAGTACAGCTGTACAAGGAGCATCTTGTTAATATTAATGGACCTTTTGGATCCGGCAAAGGGCTCTCAAGTCTCAATAGGAAAAACAAGCTCTAATGAATGTTATTTTATAATGTTTGCGGTTTTCTTTCATAATACAAAGGAAAATTGAATATAATTATTTTTAAAGTTTTTATACATTTATTTAGATTCATTAGTCACATTATAAAACAAATAAATAAAAAAACGTGTAGCAATAGTGTATACAAAATATTTATTGAGATGTAGCCTATCTTTTCTCCCCCCCCCCCACACATACACACGTACACACACACTTTCTTCTAATTTTCCGATATGTTTTCCATAATAATTTCTTTCCCTAGTATTTTCCGGGATCCAAACAAGGCCTAAAGGCTAACAAGGACATTCCTTTTTCCTCGAGATGCAGGTTAGGGAAGGACCTTGCCACTGTGACTTTCCTGCATGTTGTGATTCCCAGAAATGACATGCAGCGAGAAAGGTTTACAAAACCTTTGGCATTCTCCAATTCATGGTGTAGCTTCTTTGGAAAGAATTGTGGATGCATGAGTTTGACTTGGCTAAGGAAGATGTTTGGGAAGTCCAAACTTGAATTAAATTTAGTTTCTGTTATTTGACATTGAATTTTAGCAGACTTTGGAGGACATTTTTTAATCTCTCAGTATTGCAGAGCACTGATATAGCAATTTGACTTTGGGAAGGTGTTGGCAGGCAATTGAAGGAATTTATTTCATGCACTTTGGATTTTTCATTTTTTTTAAGATTTGGTTTTATTGATTGAAATGAAACAATGTTCTTCACTTCTTCTCAAGTAATGTAATACAAGCAGTAACTATACATGTGTATACTATACTCACATTTTCCTTTATTCTGAATGAATACACTTGACAACAAACAAATCATGTATCCTTTATTCTTCCTTTGAGAACAAAAAAATATCTTGTAAAGAATGCTTCTTCCAGAATGCCCATTAAGCTATATGCAGCTAGTTATACTAATGGAAGCTTGCAGTGTCAAAAACACGGTTATGGCAAGTTCTATCGCAAGGATATGGGCAATCAATCTTCTTAAATTCCTCCCTGTCAAAAAACCAGTCACCAACTGCTTTTGCAATTGTCTGCACCATAACAGGTTTTCAGTGAAGAGTCATCATCAGTGCAAATGCAGAATCTTCTAATCATTGAAGAATCAAAGCAGAAGATCTAACATGACGGGTTAGTTTTTTCTTTCTATTTTAATTACCTTGTTTGCCAATCTTGGAGAGTCGCTTCTGTACCACGTTTCTTGTACTTCTGTTTGACAGTGTGCATAGCATGAGTTGATAAAGTATCCTCTTGATGAAGAATGTCCTAGTCCACTTGCTAATGCCCTTAAGAACTGCTCTCTATAACCTGGGGGGAGGGGGTATAATGTACAATTTTATCAATTTCGGCAAGGTGCCGCTGTCATGAATCTCGAGTATGCTTTTTAAATTTATTTGTTAGCTTAACTAATAACTAATGTAAATCGTTTGACTTCTATCTAGTAAGTTTGTGACAAATTGCATGCAAAATTAGCTTTACCTTGCATTATACGAAGTTGACTGGATGTACAGTTTAATATGTCTATCTTACAGTCGCGCCATGTACCACGCGGATCAGCAGTCGCAGGAGCCAGAATATTTCTTATCTGGAAGTTCACAAAATCCATGCCAGGAAACAAGTAGGTTTCGTTAGAACTCAAATTTTCTGCAATTTTCCCCTTAGAAATGTTTGGTTGTCATTAAGCAGAGTGTTCATGAATTATGAAAATGATATGACCTGCCAGGAATCATATGCTGCGTTTACTATGAACAGAGGAGTCCGAACATGTTGCACCACATTTTGAGGGAAAAAACACTGCAACATGCCAACATCGTTGGTAAGCTGTGTTTGGTGTGAGATGCAAAAAACGCTTGCAATGCAGAGAGACAGACAATGAATGTTCTTACCAGACTTGGATCATCTAACCTCAAAGTGCATGATTGAGGCAAGTTCCTGGCTGATCCCTGAACTCATGAAGATACTTTAAAGGATTATTGCTGTTGTTATTGTGAGCCAACCATTAATGAATGAAAGAAAAAATAGTAAAGAATAGGATGAAGAAGAAGAAGAACACATACATGTGTTCTAACAATGTCACTGAAGAACTGCTCAATGTGTGGTGCATGAGAAATATCCGTTCTGTTACAAGGAGTCCACACCTTCTTTAGAAGAGAAACAAATGAACCACATATTGCTTTTTCTGACATGGAAAATGAGTGACCATACATGCATGGACGAAAAGGGGAATTTACAAAGGTTGACTAAATAAATTTTCAATTTAATTTATTTAAAGATTTATATAAATATAAAAAATAAAATTTATATTCTTAAAAATTACATCAAAAGTGATAAAATATAAGGTGATGCGATTATATTATTTGATCAAAGTATTGCTGAAAATATAAAAAGAAAAAAATATATAGTTTGACAAATGGAGTAAATTTGGGACAAAGAGTATAAATTATGGACAAGTGGAGTAAAACATCTAAGGCTCCGTTTAGTACCCGGAATTCAAACTATGAAATTAGAGACAATAATTCTAATTTTGCTGCTTGGAAGTATAAAAATATGTGGATTTGAAATTTGATAGTGCCAAAAATGGATTGAATCGGAGAATTCAATTCCATCAAAATCAATTTCATAGAATTTCAACTCCCAATTCAAATCTAATTCTGTCAATCCCGTGTATCAAATGGATTTTAACTGTTTTTTTTAGAGAAAAATAAAATAGTCATCTTACTCCTTAATAAAATAACCTGCATCTGCTAAGCATTTGGTTTTGGCACCCATTGGGAGAAGAGCACTAAAGCTGTCACAATGAAGGATGGAAGCAAGTCCCCCTGCTGAACATCCAGACAATATGGCCTAAACATCATTAGTAGAAGGATATCATTAATTAGCTAACCCCTTGTTTCATATCACACACCAAAAAATCTCAAAATATATAAATAATAATAAAAAATTGTTTAGATGAGAAAATAAATCTTGTGAGACACAAATTCATTACTGAAAAATAGAATTAAAAAATGAAAAAAAATGTTTTTCTGGAAGATTCAAAAAGGGGAAAGAGAGGAGAGGATGCACATTTTCAGCATCCTTCAATCCATTGTCTAGCAAATCCGCCATAACTGCAAGAAAAATCCTAGCTCCTCTGAAGTGAAGATTGGTCTCCTGCATATTACAGTAAGTACAATTTGTATGTAGTATAATGATTCTATCTATCTATTTATAATATTAATAACTATATTGCATTATGGGATTACATACATGATTAACTGCATCAACGTCACCGGTAAACGAGGATCCATCGCAGTATCTAATTTTCACTCTGTTCCAATTGTAAAAATCTGCAGGTTTTGATTTCATGAATGTACCAGAGATCCATGCTTTTCTCATTTCTCCACAACTCTATCAAAAAAGGAATTTAAACCAAAAAGAAGAAGAAGAAATAGAATAGTTAACCTGGATTGAGGAGAGGGTTGTTGCCGAGGAGACCGGAGAAGGCAAGCTGTTTACCCATATAGAGGGAGGATCCCAGCCGAGTTTTCTTCCTCGAAAGGCAAGTCGTCTCATTATTGCACCATCCTCCTCCCTTTTGTTTTTTTTTTTTTGAAAAATTTAAAAAAAAAACATCATCATGAATTCACTAAAAGTGGAACAATAAAGTGAGGATTGTGTTTGTCCCCCCTGACTCTAGTGCCTAAGGCAGACTGGATTAACAAACCTCAAGTTGGATTAACCAATTGTTGATGCCGGAGTCGTACCCGGGATCAAGATGGTAAGCGGGTGGACTCCCATCCAAACAGACAGCTCCCCGGGCGACATGAACATTGTGGACAATGGTGATGTCCACTAAGGAAGACGAATCTGTTCTTCTCATCAAACCAAACACAAGTTGCACCAGCAGCATAAACAACACTGTCCCTCTACTCTTCCATTGCTGCTCCAATCCCATCACTTTCATCATCATCATCATCATCATCATCATCAAACTGCAATTTCCACACCATACCATACATACCAACCACATCATCATCCACAACTCTTTAGCAGCACACCAAAAAATGAAGGAAAAAAAAAAGGAAAAACCTGTGATCAAAGAAAGTGGGTTCTGGGTTCTGGTTCTGCACCAGTAGATGAGAACCCAGATTTTTTGGGACTTAATAATTTGACAAGCTGCAGTGCAGAAGGAAATGCAAAGAGAGAGAGAGAGAGAGAGATGTGATTCCAAAGCTGGTGGCTTTCTCTTCTGGGAAGGGACTTTTCCTCTTCTTTATTTGACCGAAAGGAAGCGTCTTTTTCAGAAATGTCTCTCTTCTCTTCTATTTTCTTTTCTTTCTTTCTTTCTTTTATAAAGCTTTGGTGGCCGCCGACACTGCTTATAGTCCAAGCTGTACTTACCATTTGTGACTATTTTATTTACAATTAATTTTTTAATGTACAACATTATTAGCCTCATCGCTATTCAGAATCGATCGGACGAGTAAAAATAAATACTCTCCCAATTCCTGAAAATTTTTTTGTTTTTATTTTTTTGATCAAACACTGATACTCATTGACCACAAATTAAGCATAATATAAATAAATAAATGTTATAAAAATTTGATATATTAAAATTGTGTCAAAGATGAACTTAATTATATTATATTATAACTCAATATATTTTTTTTACAACTTGTAGTCAAAGAGTGACATCATTTGACTAAAAAAGTCAAAATATGTAAAAATTTTAGGGACATAGATATTAATAACTAATAAGAATAAGTTGATGAGAACATGACTTAAGTACTCTGGTAATAGTTTATTCGTCCATTCTGGTTTTGTTAGTAAAACTTAATGAATTTTAATTACTGAGTACCAATTGTTATACCAAATCTGTATTGCATATTAATGTAATAAAACTATTTTAAAAAATTTTCTATGAAATAAATCTAATAAAATCTTTACGATTTTATACTACGGAGTAGTATTTAATGTAATATTAATTGAAAATCAAATTTTAAGGTGAAAGACAAATTTATTATAGAACCAACGAAGTGAATAAACAATCACCTCGAAAAAAGGAAAGAATATTTATGTTGTATGCTATATTCTTTTTGTTCGAAATTTAAATACTCTATAACGTCCTAAAACTAAGTTCTCATTGTATTTTACGATTTACTAAAGTTATTTTAATTTATTTTTAATTTAATATATAAAAAAATTGGTGTAAGATTTAAAAATAAAAATTATTAATTTAAAGGAAAAACTCTCTCAATAAAAGTAAAAAACTATGAAAATATTAAAATAGAAATTCAATGTCTTTTAAAATCATATTAGGAGTTCACAATGTTATTGTGACACTGTCATAGTTACCATATTGTCACAATGTAATTGCCACACTATCACTATCAGGCACTAGAGTGGCGTCGGAGATCGTCGCAGGTTGACTGATCAAACAATCAAAATACAGTCATCATTTTTTCATCACACTTCAACGCGTACTTTTATGTCTCATTGTCATTATACTCATATTTTGATCTTATAAGACTTAGACAATACTCTCTTCACCCGATCTAAATAGTTCTAATATCATTGGAATAAGTTTGGTCTGATCTGATCCGAATGTAGTTATATTTAAAGTTGTTTCTGATCTAGTCTGAATTTATCTGATTCTAATAAAAATGAGTAATAAGTGAAAAAACTAGTTGACGAGAACATTGTCTTAGAACTCTTATTTTGATATTTTCATATCTTTTTAATTTTATTTAGAGAGATTTCCTTAATTTAAAAATTAATTAAAAAATTAAAATATCAACAAAACTAGTGATGAAAAGATAGATATAATAATATCAACAACCATGTGATAGCAAGCCCACTCCCCAGGATTCATGGGGAAGTTCACCCAGGTTCGAGCCCCAGCGAAGGCAGCAGCATTGGCTCTTTGTGCGTCATTAGTCATTAGCTTGAGAATAGTATGAACAGATACTACCTTGTAATAGAGTCAATAGCATTAAAAAAACAACCATGTGGGCATCAAACCGTTTAGGAATGTCAAATATTTTTATAAGATAGATAGAGAATACTAAATACGTCATTTATTCTTAGGCTCCGTTTGGTACATGGAATTCAAACTATAAAATTGGAATTGAGGACTTCAATTCCAATTCTGATGTTTGGTAGCACAAAAATTATGTGGATTTAAAATTGATAGTGCAAAAAATGTATAGAATTGGTGAATTCAATTCTATGGAATTGAAACTCATGAAATTTCAATTCCAATTCAATTCCAATTCCATCAATTCCGTATACTAAACGGACCCTTATACTTTGTATAAGTGCTTATTGCATTTTCAATAAACTCTCTCCGTCCAATAATTATCGTCTTGTTGCATGTTCAAATATTTGATTTAAGTTACTTTCAAATTATTTTATAAAAAAACAGTGAGGAATAAAAAAATAAAAAATTAAAAACTATAGGTGACATGACTATATTATTTTATCGAATAAACAAATAAAGTAGACTAACAAAGTATATAAAATTTGACGTCGTGAATAGTAAACGGAAAGATAATTGTTAGACAAAGGGAATAGATCAGAAAATAAAATAAATGTGACGTACTTTGTACGTAGTAATTTAGAAACGGAAATAATAGTTATATGGATCCACCCGGATGCGGTAACGTTGAAGTTATTGACCATGATTTATTAACCTCATTATTAGCCTATTAAATTATGAATTTATGGGCCCTAATTTATTACTCCATGCTTCCCTAAATGTTACTCCATCTGTTCGAAAATGTTCTTCCCATTTGACTTTTCACGGTCTCTAATATTGCATTTTGACCATTAATATCTATATTTAAACATGGATATATTTTATAAAAATTTGATATTTGAAAATTACGTTTCATTATGAATATATTGATATTAAATTTACATCATAATACAATGTGTTTTTCTACAAATCGTAGTCAAAGTTTATAAACTTTGACCAAGAAAAGTCAAACGTGAAGAACATTTCCGGACGGATGGAGTATCACATAAAGTTGATGTCAAATTATATTTTGAGTCTTTAAATTAACACCAACACAAAAGAAGATGAGAAAAGACTATTTATCAAAAAAACCCATAAAAAGAAGGACTACAGATGTAATATTTGATATTAGAAGATTAAATATGAAAACCCCTATTATAAAGGACAAATTATGAAATTTTAGATTTTTTGTTGTAATTTTGTTTTAAGTATAGAAATTTTATTTTTTTTTAATTTAAGAAGCAAAATCAAATAAATTGAATTTAAAAAAAGGAGATTAAACTTCGTAAAATGTGAAAAAAAAGAGTAAATTCCATAACTTGTTCCTTATAACAAGGGTGTTTTCATATTTAGTCATCTATTATCAAATATTACCCCCGTAGTCCTTTTAAAAGTGTTTTTCCACAAATGATCCTTGTTTTATCTTCTGTCATATTGGTGTCAATTTAAAAACTAAAAGTATAATTTAACGTCAACCTTATGTCCGATGACGTATTCTGACATTTGTTAGACGGATAACATAAAAAAATGACTTTGGTTCTAGGTTAGGATTCCGACGAAAGACCATACTTGTAGAATATGGTGTTAGTAGAAAGCGATTGTAATTCGCAAATAATGCATCAGGAACGACCTTTGGAATTGTATATGACAAGAAAGATATATTATCGTTGTGAAATAATTACGGTTTTAGCTCTCAAATTAATACCAACATGATAGAAGATACAAAAAAAGATTATTTTTAGAAAGATACCTGTAAAAGATGGATTGTCAAAATAATATTTGATAATAGAAGACTAAATAAAAAAATTTTATGTTATAAAGATCTCATTATGGAATTTATTAAAGGAAACCATTGGACAACTGAAACATTTGTGAAAGTCAAAGAACGACGGAGTATAAAAACGCCGGAGAGTAATGTGAAGACGGCCCCCACACATGGCTTGCTTGCCAGCTGTCACTCGTCCAGCGGCAATGACGCGCCCACGCTTCCCCCACTTTCCCTTTTTCCTATTTTCGACCCTCCTCTCTTCCAAAATTCATTTACTCCGACTATTATCTTTCCTCCCTAAAAGAAAATTTCAAATTTTTATTTGCAAATTTTTATTTTAATTTTTTAAACATGAATTGTATTACTTGGAATTTTTAAAAGTAAAAAATTATTATAAGCAATTTATTTACTTTATTTTGTAAAAAGAATAGAAGTGAAGAGATTATATTTTAAGAGACAAAAAAAGAGCTTTATCTTGTTGTGTGTGAATTTGTAAATACTCATGTCTTCCCTTCTCGACTTTTTTTGGTCAAAATTTAAAAATTTTGATTTTGATATATGAAAAAATATATTGTATTATAATATACCTTTAATATCAATATATTTCTAATATAACTTCATGTTTGACTTTTCTCAAATAAAAATACTAGTTTTGGAGTACAATATTTGCTTGAAGTTTAATTTTCTTTGAATCAAAAAGTAATACGGGTTACGTAGAACGTGTAGACGGTGTAGTATTTATCGACTAACCAACAAAGAACACATGACAATGCAAATTCATCATCTTATTTTAAGATAAAAGGAAATTCTTTCTAAATATGAGTAAAAAATTAAAGTATGAAAATACTAAAATAGAAGTCTTAAGTCTTTGTGGTGTAATAGTACATGTTGGTAGTGTCATGAAAAAGTACAAGTCACCCGTCAGCAGTCCACGACGATACTCTGGTGTTCGGCCACAACGGATGACAAGGTGGCGACCGTGTTAGCGTGGTTGTTACAATGTAACAATGCGATGAGTGTGACAGTGTAACAATGACAGTGTGAACTCCTATTTTGGACTTAAAAGACTTAATACTCTTATTTAGGTATTTTCATAGTTTCTTATTTCTATCTAAGGATTTATCTTTAAGAAAAAAACATGTTACTTCCATTTTAAAGATATGAGCTATGTTTTACTTTTATTTTAAGTGATTACTTAGTACAAATTGAAAATGTAAAACAAGTCATCACTGATCACCACCCAAATATATGCATGCATGTATGAAAATTACAAAAAAAATAAAGGAAGCCAATGAGACACATCACACATATATGCATAAATCGATGAAAAGTCTAATCAATAAATAAATCCAAATAAACCATAAATCAATCACTATTTTTTGATGGTATTGAAGGAATTAAGAAGAAGAAGAAGCCTTGGGTTTGTCGTCGTCCTTCCCTGCCGCCGCCGCCGCCGCATGGCGTTGATCACCATCATCGACAACCATCCCCCAATCTCCATTATAGTAACCTATAATTACCGAACTGCCCTTCCTCTCTCTCCTCTTTTTCCTGTCTCCTTCTCCATTTTTGCTTCTCAACGGCCTGCAGCAGTGCCAAAGGCAGCACGTTGGCATTATTCTATTCTCAAATATACAATAATGTCTGTACAGTTTTTAAATTTGTTAATACATGCACTACAGTATATATAAAGGAGAGCTGTATATATGTTGTCCTGTCCATTCTTGAAAACACTTCCGCCCTAATTTTTTGCATTCATAAACTACTTTTATTTCCACCTAAAATATTTAAAATACTCCTCATTATGTAATTTATTGCGAGTGGAAGTTGTTTGGAAAGTATTTTAGAGATTTTAGGTAGAGTAAAAGTATTTTATAAGGTGCGCAAAAATTAGGACAAAAGTACTTTCAAGAATGAATGGTATGTGTGTATGCACTCTGTACTTCACTACTTTGTACTTCAAAATTCAGCTTTTTATGGTACTTGGGTACGTAGGGCCCTCTCGGAAATAAGAAAAAATGATACGGAGTATTTGCTACGGAGTATATATGTACAAAATTAATGTGTTGCACTTTAAAATTAGTGTTGAATACTCCCTCCGTCCCTGAGTGTTTGTCCACTTTCATTTTTGCACACCATCTAATGCACTTCTTTAATCCATTTTATCTTGTAATTTGTATATTAAAAAATTATAAAAATTATATATTAATAATCTATATGTTAAGACGAATCAAACAAGATCACACATGACTATTTTTAGGCTTACACATTGAGAGAATTTGATGAGTCAAAGTACTTAGATGAATAGTTCCAAAAGTCAAAAGTGGACAAACACTGAGGGACGGACCAAGTATGATTTTTTTAATGACCATTTTTATTACAATTTAGATATAAAATTTAAAATTCTATAAATTTAAAAATAACAAATAATAGAACGACGTTCTAAAATAATGTACGCCATTATATTTTTATTTAAAATACGAACGACTTAGTTCAAGCAAGTGTTTAATTGAATAAACTCTTAATAACTAACCAAATTCTATTATACGTGACTCTGATATACATTAAGAAAGTCATCTTGTACACATACATGTTCTATACTTCATTTATATATTTATATTTTATAGAAATATTGTACGTGTTGTATAAATACAGTGATGAATTTGTTAGAGCATCTCCAAAGGGGCTTGGTATATGTGGCTTGCTATTACTTTTTTTAGCTAATGAATAGTGGTATAACAAGTCACTTTTTGCTCCCTTCTCCAACCATGACTTGTTATATTATGCTCCCTCCTTCCAATAATGTTTTACTCATTTTTGATCAACGTGCAAAACTCCATGATTTTAAAATGATTTTATTTATAAATTGTTAAATAAAATACAAAATAAACAATTATATTTAAAAAACTACATCAAAAAATTTACAAAACAAGAGCTGAAAAAAATTTATTTTATCAAATAATCAATGAAAATACACAAACAAATAAGAATTATCGAGAGACCGGAATAGTAAATGAGTAATTCTTTTTTGGACGGAGGGAGTAACTAACAAATATATTTTGTTCCAATAACCATTATAATACACCAAATACAATAATTCTTGAATTGTATTTATTCCTGTAAACGTAAAAAAAAATAATAGATATGGAGTATGTGTCAAAGAATCGATTCAACCAAAAGCTCAAACTTGTGGTTATGTCTAGAAAAAGTTATTTATATTCTAATAGTATGTAATTAAAAAATATAAAATAAAATATTTCTATTTAAAATAAAATAAACCAAAGAACTCTTCCTAGGGTAAAAATCACATTCACATTGAAAAAACAAAAAAAATGTTATACGGAGTATTTAATTTGTGCAGTATATATCATTGTAAAAGAAATTTACCTTAATTTTTGTTTAGCTATATTCTAGCATGCTTGTTATAAATAGCAAGGTGTTTTCATTTTTTAGCAAGCTAGTCAAATTTTGAATAACCCTTTGGAGCATGAAATTTTTTATATGCTTGTCAAATTATAACATATAGCAAGTTATTTTGCTATGGTTGGAGATGCTCTTAATTAGTATGAGAGCTAGCTGTGTATCAAGGAAAAAACGTGACTTGGTTATGTGTCGATAAATATGTATGTGATGATGAGCTGTTTTTGTCACACATATTTTGGGCGTATCTGCAGATCCGATGCACACCACACGGAGTTTGCGTTCATGTATAAAATATGAAACCAATTAATCATAAAATTCGCAAAATCTTAAATATTTTAAAACTAAAAATTATATTCACAATCGTAAGTTTGTGAATTTTATGAATCTAGGCATCTAGCTACAACAATAGCAACTACCTAATTGAATCTCACAAGAATATGATATCTATAAGCAGAAGCTAGCCCTTGTCTCAGCATTATATCGAAGATAACATTGATTGACTAACTATTACTTCATTACTTCTGAATCTAGTTTTACTCATAGATTTTTTTAAATGGGCATTTCTCAAAAATAGTCATGACATTTAGTGATGATTATCTCCGGGTGTGTAAAATATGTTCCCGTTAGTCTGTCTCAAAACATTTCGATGCCGTTTTGGAATTATACCGTTTAATCAGAAATACATTTTTTTCCCGAACCATCCCTATTCTAAATGGATGGGGCATTAGCAGGACACCGTAAAAAATACCATTCCGCATATATTCCAATAATAAAATATTATACTCCCTTCGTCCCCAGTTTGATTACAAATTGCGGGTTACGGAGTAAAATATCTTACTTTTTGAAGTCATTTTATTTACAAATTGGTATATCAATAAGATACAAGAATTACATATTAAAAAACTACGTCAAAAGTTCTACAAAACAAGAGGTGACAAGAATATTTTATTTTATCAAATACTTAATAAAAACACGTAAATAAACAAAAGTTATCGAGAAGAGAGAGAAAAAATTGTAATTTATTTAGGGACGGATGGAGTATGTTGGAGGGAAGCTCAAATTCAACGTTTTTCATTAGCAAATGTCCCTGTAAATAGGGTAGAGATAGGGTTTATATGGAGAAGAGTGTGCGCATAATACATAAGTTACAACATATAATCTCTAATATACAATCTATATACATTCTATATACTTCCTCCGTTCCAATATAGTACATGTTCACTATTCACAGGATCAAACTTCATTTACTTTCTTTATCTCTTTTCATGCATTATCAATTTGATAAAATAAAGTATTCTTGTCACTATTAGTTTTGTAGAACTTAGGATGTAGTATTTTAATAGTAATTTTTATTTTTTAATTCTATATCATTTGTCATATAAAATGATTTGAAAATAATTTCAGTCAAACATCGTAAACTGAAAGAAGCACTATAAATTGGGACGAAGGGAGTAGCACACAATTTGCAGTTTTTTTAACACTCTCCTTGTGCTAAATTGAAGATAGAATCATAGGCTCTTCAAATAGCAAAAACCTCTTGAGAAAATTTAAAATCATCTTGAAAGAATGGGAAGGGGGAAGGAGTACCACTTGTAAGAAAATATGGATTACTTTCTTCATTGAGACTAAACTTCTTAGCTTATTGATCCACTAATTGATCAAAAATGATTTACATATGTCATTGCTTAGTTAAAACTTAAAAGCTTTTGCCAAGCAATAACAACCCGGTGGGAAAATAAATCTTGGCTTAAAAGAGTATTATATTATATAATGTTGGTGCCCGACTTCCCCTCTCCAGTTGCAATAGCTATCAACTTCTGGGAGAGTTCTTAGCTAAAGAACAATTACTTCCCTAAGCAAGTCTCGCAACTCTTTTACTCCGTAATAAATTAAGTAGTTCATGCTTCACTTAGAGCATGTACAATGGCAAGACAAAAAAAATTGCCACACGATGACATGGAACTCTTCAACCAATCAGAAATGGTCCAGTCAGCGTGTGGCAAGGGAGAGGAGTTACATTCCATGTAGTGGCAAGTCAATGTTTTCTCACTTTTTATACTTTTTTTTTGATATATTTTAACTATAAAAAATATTTTTATTTACCTTTTTTTTATAAAAATAGATGTACTTTTTATAAAAAAATTCCTCTTTATTTTACAAAAAAGAAAAAAATAAAAACAAATTTTAAAAAAAAAGAAATTGGGAAAGGAGTGCCTTGCTCATGACTCTCAAACCATGGAGGAATGAGGATGCCATACAATGCATTATGAGAAAATGGGCTGACATGGCAGGGCGTGGGAGGCAATGCCTCGCCACTGCCTTTGCTCTTAAGATCCACATAAACGCTACATGGATTCAACATTATGTTTTTTCCATTAAAGATGCTCTAAGGCCCATGGTGCACTCACTGCACACCCGTATATGAAGCTTATAAGCATTTGTCTTATGTTGAGATAAATATTTTTATTTGAGTAATACTGGATACGAAATAAAATACCTCATTTCTACGTCATCAATTTTTATCATATATTCTTTATTGATTCATTATATGTTATTATCAACACTAAGATTGTATGGTGGAGAAGTATTGAATACATTTTTAGCATACCCCTATAACTATTGTTTTTATTTTTATTTTGAAAAAATTTACTCCTTAAAGAACTTATCTTAATACCCAACTTTTTATGTTTAAAGAGAAAAAATCACACATTTTGTAGAGCACGCCATTAATCGTGAGCTAGCCGTTAGGGACCATTCTCTCATTTCATTTCTTCTGTTGTTTTCATCCCTCCATCAATGGCCGATTTCTCTTTCCTTTCGGACAGCGACGATGACGTCAGAGCAGCAGCCGACGAGCTTCTGTCTCAGGCGATGGATCACTCTGTTCTCGAGCAGGTCGCCGCCATCAACTGCTCCGGATTCGCCGATTCGCCCCTCCCGTCTCACCTCGAAACTCGCTTCCGTAAGCTCAAATCCTTCCCTTCTGCAAACCCTAAACCCCCTAATCTCGCCGCCCCCGCCCCTAGAAGCTCCGCCGTCTCTCAGTCCGCTTCTGATCCGGCGAAGGAAGACCGATTCGAGGGGAATAAAGGTCCAGAGAAGGGTTCGATTTCCGATTTCGTTTCATCGCCGCCGAAATTGGATTTACCAGAAAGGAAATTCGGGTCGGGTTCGGTTTCGTCTTCGGATTCCTCGGCTTCGACGGATCCCCCGTCGCCTCCGGCGAAAACCGGCTGCCTGTGGTGTTCCCCGAGGAAGAAGAACAAGGGGAAAGAGAACAGAGGCGTCGCAGGCAAGAGATTCCTGTCCGATTTGAACAGTTTCTCCGAGAAGAAGCAGGAGAAAATGCTGAAGAAGGCGATGAAGGAAGAGGAGAAGATCAGCAGAGAAGCGGAGAAGATAGTGAAGTGGGCGAAACAGGCATCTGCTAGGATGGAGTTTGATGGCCTCGATGAAGACGACGACGATGACACCAGCGGGAAAGAGCTTCGTTGACGACGATTCGTTTCTTCATTGGGTCCAAATTCTAACAATCCACATGCATCTATCCATCTATAGCCATATATATTTTCTTGGTCTAAAAACCGTACTTTTTATTTGTTTAGAAAAACTCTTGAATTTGGCCTAATTAAACACAAAAATCCTTATTTTTTCTAAATCTAATCTAACATTTCCCAACATTTTTCTATGCCTTCCACAATCTGAAATTTCTCAAATGCTACTCGTTTTAACGTTTAATTGTCGTCATTTTCCTTTGGTGAAACTTCTACAAGTAGCCCTCTTAAAAGTCAAATCTAGAAAAAAATTGAGATGAAAAGGGTTTACTTATGCATATCGCTTTATTTGAGGTGTACATCCATCAAATAAATAACAAGAATTTTTTTTATTTGAGAATGTACCATCTATATAATCGTAATGAGTATCATGTACTTCTCAAATGAACATACATACATTGGAATGAAACCATCTTTGGTGGTGCAAAAAGTACTTGCAAGACTTTACATAGAAGGATAATTTTCTACACTCATCTCGAATGTCATACTTTCTCTTTCAAATTTTATTTACTTTCTTTCTCTATTTTTATTACTCATTTAATAAAATGATATGGTCATATCATCTTTTGTTTCATAGAACTTTTGATGTAAATTTTTAATATGTAAAATTTATTTTTTAATTCTACTTCAATCCAGGGCGGGGCGGGGGGAATAGAATAAAATCCTAAAGTCATAATATAGCACTAAAAGAAATATCACTCAAAACAAACATTAAAAAAATCAACGTAAGTTAAATCTCACACTACTTGTGTCAATATTTATCGTACAAAGAATTCTTACACTCTGTAACATTTCAAATCTTTGGAAATCGGATAAAATCCATTTTTGTTTATTTTATTTTTTGGTAAATTAATTAACATGCTTTTTCATTGTAATGGTCCCATTCCCCATTCACATATTCAAATTACACCTTTTCATTCATTTTTTTTTAAAATCAATTGCTAAAATAATAGTCTAAATAATCGAGTCACTAGTTTTATAGAGTTTTTAGTTCTTAATTATATTTAATTTTATTTTTGAACTTTGCATTCATTTAAATAAATTGAATTGAAATTAATTTTAATAACATCAAGACAAAAATTACACAAAAAAGGATTACAAGGCACGATTAAGTTTATGCTCTATACAAACTCAATTTTAAGAGTGATGGCATTATCATCATACTCCGTAATAATTACAAAATGGGATTGATTGGCAGTCTGGATGATGATAGTATATATCTGGCATTTCATATACAATCAAATGTGACAATACTGCACAAGAAAACACAATTAAAAAAAGGCTACTTGAAAAAAAGGGGTGGAAATAAAATAAAATAGATGAGAAAACAAAGGCAAGGCAAACAAACACTACTAGGATTTCAAAACAGAAACCAAACAAGGCCATCACAGCAAAATCAGCCACTGTGGGGATTATAAAGGAAAAAAGCCTAAAGGAGAAAGAATAAGAATGGGAGTATGAGAACACTCACAATTTCAATTCATGGGCTTAACGATGAGGCATCCATCAGTCTGAGCTGGAGTCGTAGAAGTCGCTGGGGCAAGGGGTCATCACTTCAGATTCAAGAATCTGGAGCACCCTGTGCATCGTGGGCCTATCCTCTGGGTTCGAAGAGACGCATTGTATTGCAATTGAGAGCAATGCATCAAAGCTGCTCTCTGCCTGCGCTCTGTCGCAGTTTGGATCTGCTATTTCCTGTTGCCTGTTCTCCGTCGCCAGAAAATTCAACTGCAAAACCAATACAAACAGTTGAAGAGAGACTTGTGGTTGCATCCAAACAGTTTCTACTTTCCTTTTTTGTTTGTCCAAAGAAAACAGCTCTCAATTAAAGCAAAAAATCATGTGGTTCATATTGTTTCTTTTCTTCTTAATAGCTGCGCCCGATCAATTGTGAAACTTATTGAGCGGTTATGGCCATAGCAATGCTAAAAATTCTCTCAAATTAACTCTAAAAAAAATACCCGGGCGACATTTGTTTATGTTAGGACTTAGGGATGGACATTGAGGACTGATTTGACCCGGAGAATATGTTATTAGTTTCTAGCAATGTTGTCCCTGAACTGTGACTATATAACAAAGCAGGACAAAAAAACCAAAAAAAAAAAAAAGGACCAAACTAAATTTGGTTATTTGGCAATCTTTCCCTAACCATGTCAGACAGAGCTTAAGGTAAAAACTATCACGATACCACCAAATGGGTACAAGTCTATTAGGCAAAGAAAACAGATATTCTGGCAAAACTCTAAGAGAGGTGCAGGAGGAGGAGAGCCACTGAGGTCTATTTAAGAATTAACTTCGGAGTTTTTTTTAGGGGGGAGGGTGGAGGTATTTGATTTGGTTCATCTAACGGGACACCTACCATTACTCAAGGGTAAGTCCAATGAACCAATCTCGAGGAGAAAAATATGAACACAGTATCCAAGTTCAAGATTAACTCCAGTTTCCAAAAAAAAAAAATAAACATACCCAACCAACAATGTTTAGACCCTTTTCAATGAAAGATGCATCAGTTGGACGCTTTCCGCTCAGTATTTCAAGAACCAAAACACCAAAACTGTAAACATCTGTCTTCTCTGTGGCTCGACCACTCTGCATGTATTCTACAAAGTAGACAAACATACATATCAGAGAAACATAATGAATGAAATGAATCAAAATGTACCACCACGCGACTGAGTAACTTAAAAGAAACTTTAAAAAAATATTTCAACTGTTCTAATGTCACATAACACTTTCTCAAATTTCATGATTTGTACATGCATTTCACAATATCAAACTTGTTATGGAAAACGAAATCAGCAATCTCAATTCATCAGTCTCACTTTTCCATGCATGTGGAAATTACCTATGAATCAATGATGATGACATTTTAAAAATCTTCATCTCATTATACCTTCTTATGAGGGGGTTGCAATATCAAGGACAACAAGAACCTACATACTAATTTCCCACAAGTGGGATCCGAGTGAGTGTACGCATACTTTACACCTAGCTATAAGAATGTAGAGAGGTTGTTTATGAAAGTACCCCGACTTAAAAACAAAAGACACAAATTAGAACAGTGCAACGAGAGGTAAATAAATAGGAATACCGAAGAGCAGTGACAAAAACGGTACTTATAAACAAATAGGGCCACAATGCAAACACCCAACTACACCTAGTTAACCCCTAGAACCCTATACACGTGGTGCAGCACTCCTATCCAAGAATACCCTGCAACTTTAATATATCAAGTTTGATGTCTTTCACCTTTGGTCCTTTATAAAATGAAGAGACTGGCAGGATGAGTTAATTGAGCAAAACAGCAGCTAGAAAACAGTCTCATTTCTGGATGATGCAAGAAATTACATTGTGGCCATGTTCTATAATATATAAAATGGCTTTACAATACTAATGTAATGATGAGCCATGACTAATTGGCTATATAAAAAAACCTAGATTATCTCTGCCTCATTAGTCCCGTGAATCATGATAAAGTTTTATCTGACAAGAAATGTCGTGCCAATAAACTGATTAAGGGCGGCAACAAGGTGCTGATGATGGAGAAAATTTATATCACTGACGGGAATTATGTCTTTGGAGATTTATCTTGTGCAACATAAAGTAACTGAAATGAATTTTCAATAGTGCATACCTGGAGCTAAATAACCAAAGGTGCCAGCCACAATTGTAGTGATGTGGGACTCCTCATCCTCAAGTAGTTTGGCCAATCCAAAGTCAGATACGCGTGCTTCAAAATTCCCATCTAGTAAGATGTTACTAGACTTTATGTCACGATGTATTATTCGTGGTGAACAATCATGATGCAAATATGCAAGCCCTTTTGCAGCTCCCATTATTATAGTCACTCGTGTATCCCAGTCTAATTGCTCAGATCTATCTGTGCAGAACACATAACCTTTCACGAATCAATAAAAAAATCACAGAGGAAAATACTCCCTCTGTCCTAAAAATAAACTTTGGGGTTTGAGTTAACCGAGTTTAAGAAAAGTGTTTGGTTAGGATTTGTTTAGAAGAAAGAGAAATAGTGTAAGCCACACATTTTATTCCTCAATAAGTTAAATGCAAAAGAAGAAGTGTGATGTTTATTTTTGAGACAGAGAGAGTACGTATTACAGTGTGACATCAATACTAGAATAAACTTGTATGCTTCTAGAATAGACTACCTTCTGATGCAAAGGCTATTCCATAATCAATTACGAAGTACTACAAGCACCCAGGTTCCAAAATTACATGCAGGTTACAGAGTTAAATTTATGGAGAAATTTATATGGACAGAAGTAAATTTATCCTTGAACCATTTAGTATACCACAGAGCATATGCAAATAAAGTACTATACCATGTAGAACTTCATCTAGGCTGCCTCCTGGTAAGAAATCATATATTAACAGCTTTGATGTGAGAGAATTGCAATATCCTCGCAGATTTACCAAGTGCCTGTGCTTAATGCTTCCCAGGATTTCAAGTTCCCTTTCAAAAAACCTATCAAAACGCTCATTTATTTTGAGAATTCTTTTCAATGCAAATGCATTGCCATCATCCATTACAAGCCTGTACACAGTCCCAAACCCCCCAGAACCAATTATGTGTTCTTCATTCAGTAATTCTAAATTCCTTATTATATCCTTTGATGAGTATGGCAAATCTCCGTGGAACATCACAATTGAGGCACCTGAAAAGATAAATTTGTGAGGATTTTCACAGTAGTAGAAAACAGAGCCACACCAAACTCAAAATGGTCTTTCAATGGGGCAGATGGACAAGTATCTATTCATAATAAGGATAGAACCTGAACCAACATCCCTAGCCAAGCTTCCACTTTCATTTTTAGCAAATCTCTTGTAGAGGAGGCAGCCCCAGTAACACATCAAAGCCACCAAAAGCAAAGCCCCAACTGTAACAGATGCAGATATTAGCACTTTCTCAGAAATTTTCTTATCATGACCTGAAAAACAAGAAACAGATTGTTTTGTTAATACACAATACCACACGTGAAGACAAACATGAATAAATTGCATAAACAAGACTGAAAGATATGATGAAACAAAAGAAGAAGATATATTCAAAAACTATGTGAAGCGGCATGTGTTCA